CCGGATGGGACTCTCCTTTGCGTGGAAGACAAGCTTGGCGATCCGGATATTATGTTTTCTTCCTTGTAACCGACTCCATGTAAACCCTAGCTCTCCAGTGTCTATATAAACCGGAGAGCATGGTCCTTAGAAGGCCGATCACAATTACAAGCATACCATCATAGGCTAGCTCTTAGGGTTTAGCCTCTACGATCTTGTGGTAGATCTACTCTTGTATTCCACATATCTTCAATATTAATCAAGCAGGAAGTAGGGTTTTACCTCCATCGAGAGGGCCCGAACCTGGGTAAATATTGTGTCCCTTGCTTCCTGTTACCATCAGCCTAAAACGCACAGATCGGGACCCCCTACCCGAGATCCGCCGGTTTTGACACCGATATTGGTGCTTTTATTGAGAGTTCCTCTGTGTCATCGCTTCGAGCCTTGATGGCGTCTTCAATCGTCAACAACACGGTCCAGGGTGAGACTTTTCTTCCCGGACAGATCTTTGTGTTCGGTGGCTTCGCACTGCGGGCCAATTCGCTTGGCCAGTTGGAGCAGATCGATAGCTTCGCCCCTGGCCACTAGATCAGGTTCGGAAACTTGAACTACACGGCAGATGTCCGCGGGGACTTGATTTTCGACGGATTCGAGCCTGCACCAGGAGCACCGGACAGCCACGACGAGCACGGCCTAGACCTGCTGTCGGACAGTGCCCGGGACATCATCCCCGAAGCAGCCTTGGATCTAAATCCAGGACAGGTTGCGTTGCCTATGGACGGAGGGCTGGACCCCGCTCCGCAGGCCGCAGACTTATCGGCGGTGGAGCCGAACACGGGTCCCACCTTTGTGGAGGCCTGTAACCCCGGACCCCCGGACTCATACCCGGTTGTTGGTCCTGTTCCGCTCACTCTCGAGCCAGTCGAGCCAGGTTGGGCTCCAGTAATGGAGTTTACCGCTGCAGACATCTTTCAGCACTCGCCCTTTCGTGACATGCTGAATTCCTTGAAGTCTCTCTCTTTGTCAGGAGACTCTGGGCCGAACTATGTCCGGCCCGAGTGGGAAGCAGGCGACGAAGGAATTCGGCGCCCACCCACCACCCACTTCATTGCCACGATCGAAGAATTAACCGACGTGCTTGACTCCGAAGACATCGGCGGTATGGACGACGATGCAGGAGAGGCTCCAGAATCCCTAGAGCGTGGGACTACTACCTTGTCACACGATATATACATGGTAGATACGCCCAATAAGGATGGTATCCCGGACGATAAAACACCCGGGCAAAAGCCAAAGAGGCGGCGCAGACGCCGCTCAAAGTCCAGCAATGGCAAAAATAGCGACAAGAGCGCAAGAAGGGTTGATATACCCGCAAACTCCGAAAGCAATAATGACCACATGGACCCAGCGATGGAGCAGGACGAGCCAGGTCACGCCAAATAAAGTTCGGAGCAAATACCCGATCACAATGATCCGGAGGGACGAGCTCAGGATGCCGCCCCAGAACAGGAAGATAGTCCGGCCGACAATGCATTCATCATCCCAGACGAACAAGTGGAACGAGACAACCTCCACAGAAAGCTTATGGCCACCGCAAGAAGTCTAGAAAAGTAGAAGCAACGGCTCAAGGCCGCACAGGAAAAGCTAAGTCGCAGATGGAATAAGGTGCTAGACACTGAAGAAAGATATGGCGATGACCGCCATATGAAAAGCTATCCGAAGCGCAAGCTACTGCCAGAATTCGACGACGCGGCCGTTCCACCAAAAGAAAATTCGACCAAGAAACTAGACGTACCGCCTCACAACCATAACAGAGTGGCGCCGGACACTGCGCACAATCCACGCGAGCATCCGGATAAAAAGACCGGTGCAGCCAGGTCCATATATGGATCTAGAAGACGCACCCTAGCGCAGGACTATGGTCACCTAAATGCTCATAAAAGCCAGATACCAGTTCGGAATCAACCCCGGACACAACAACAACCGACTACATGCCACAATGCGTCTAGATACAGAGGGGCTACTCACCCCCTGTGCTTCACCGAAGAAGTACTGGACCATGAATTCCCACAAGGCTTTAAACCTGTGAACATAAAAGCATACGACGGCACGACAGACCCAGGGGTCTGGATCGAGGATTTTATCTTGCATATTCACATGGCTCGTGGGGATGACCTCCATGCCATCAAATACCTTCCCCTCAAGTTGAAGGGACCAGCTCGACACTGGTTGAAAAGCCTCCCCGAAAACTCAATTGGGAGTTGGGAGGAACTCGAAGACGCTTTCAGGGCCAATTTCCAAGGGACTTATGTCCGGCCTCCGGACGCAGACGATCTAAGTCACATAATCCAACAGCCCGGAGAGTCCGCCCGTAAGCTTTGGAATAGATTCCTCACTAAGAAGAATCAAATTGTCGATTGTCCGGACGCCGAAGCCTTAGCGGCTTTCAAACACAGCATCCGTGACGAATGGCTCGCCCGACACCTCAGCCAAGAAAAGCCAAGGACAATGGCAGCCTTAACAAGCCTTATGACCCGCTTTTGCATGGGTGAGGATAGTTGGTTGGCCCGTAAAGGCACCAGCGACCCCAGCACATCCGAACTAAGGGATGGCAACGGGAAGCCACAGCGTAATAAAAACAAAACGCCAAAACAAGGAAGAGAGCCCAGATAACACGATGGTTAACGCCGGATTTAGGGGCTCTCAACCTGATCAGAATAAGAAGCCATTCAAAGGCACTAAAGACGGACCGTCCGGTCTGAACAGAGTCCTGGACAGACTATGCCAAATTCATGGCACCCCGGAAAAACCTGCGAACCACACTCATAGAGAGTGCTGGGTCTTCAAGCAGGTCGGCAAATTAAATGCCGAACACAAGGGGAGGGGCACACCAAGCAAAGACGAGGATGAACCTCACCAGCCGAACACTGGGGTACAGGAAAAATTCCCGCCAGAGGTTAAAATAGTAAACATGATCCACGCGACTCGCACATCCATGAGAGGGCATAAACGCGCGCACATAGAAGCGCACGATGTAGAGCCCGTCGTACCCACGCCTCACTATTGGATGTCCCATCCGATCACTTTCGATCACATGGACGGCCGAACTAGTATTCGGCGCGGAGGATCACAGGCCTTGGTGCTTGACCCACTAATCGACGGATACCGTCTCACCCGTGTCCTCATGGACGGCGGCAGTGGTCTCAATTTAATATACGAGGACACTATCCGCAGAATGGGGATAGACCCACCCAGAATTAAACAAAGCAACACCACCTTTGAAGGGGTGATACCAGGCGTTGCAGCCTGCGCCAGGGGCTCCGTCGTGCTGGAAGTAACATTCGGCTTCCCAGGCAACTCCAGAAGCAAAGAGCTGCTCTTCACTATCGCACCCTTCCAAAGCAGCCATCACGCATTGCTAGGAAGAACGGCCTTCGCCCGCTTCAACGCATTGCCGCACTATGGCCACCTTACACTCAAGATGCCTGGTCCCCGTGGCGTCATCACCGTTAGCGGAATCATAAAGCGCCCTTCACGCGTAGAGGAATACGCGACGGCCCTGGCGGCCGGACTATAAGCGGCCTCCAGTTTTAGAAAACATGATTGGTCATTACGACCATAGACACGGTTAGACGAGTCCGGTAGCCCGGATAAATTCAAACAAGACACTGTATATATAATCCCATAAGGGAAACTAGGGGTTGTCTATATTTAATACAGCCCCACGCTTCGCTCGACCTTATTGGCAGGCCAACAGCTTACACTCTTATTACTGATCGCATACTTACGTTGCGCCCTCCTACGAGTTTTTCTTTTTTACAGACAACGTTCGCGCGATACCCTTCCAGGATACGGCACAACGGAGACAAAGGCGCAGACATGCAGCAGGGCCCGTGCAACAGGTTTCTTTTTAGATTAAGCCCCTGTGTAAACCTTTTCTACTGCATCTTGTTGTTTAACCATCTCATGGGTTCTATACCCACAGAGGATACTGCCGTTTTTGGCATTTGGCCACGGCAGACTAAATTGCACGTACCTAGAAATAAAGGGCTTAAAATAGGCTCTTGTCAGCCTATCTTCTTTTACAAAAGACCGAATACCCTCGGGAGTGTTCGGCGTCACGAGTTTGGCCGTATATGCATCAGCTCCGAATCATGTCTTGGTCAAAATGTTGGGTTTGCCCGGCTCCTGGGTTTGCCGCCTTACGTTCCGCTATCATCCGGCTAAGGCAGGCCAAAGGAGAATTACTGCGATTGTGCCCTGGTTATTCTGGATGAGCGCCTCAGTAGAGAAAGCCGAAAACTGACCGTCATGATACAGCGAGAGACTGTTCAACCACTCGAAGACTCACCGGAATCCCTGAAGATTCATCCGCCTTAACGAAGGGCCGTTTCCCGGCCATGTACACACGCGCCCTTATTCAGATGCACGTGGAGGTACCAGGGGCTACATAGTAGCCGCACCATTAGACTCACATGGCTAAGTGAAAGTATTACAACTATATAATCC